TTAAAGTTTGTCAAACGGCAATAAAAGAGACGTCAAAAGTCAACTCCTGGACGTGAACACAATACCATTCTGATTGCCTGGTCCCCATTCAACGATTATCCATGGCCATTATATTCTATTTAGTTCCAAATAACCATTTAATAATAGTTTACGGACCGGCAACGGTCCCCTTAGCATGCTTATTAACAATACAATAATATAAATAACAAATAACACAAAATAAGAACCACTTTACACCTTCTTGGAAGTTTGGAGCTCGACTGTTGCGTTCGAAAAAATTTAAAGAAAAAAATCTTTCCTCTCTGTTTGACTTATAGCTGCGTCTATTTCTAATCGTTTGTGATCGATTTCTAATATTATTGTTTAGCTGGCAAATGTTCTATTTCTAAAATCACTTTTAAATAACTTTAAACTTTATTAACAAATGCGTAAGAAACAAGAATACTTTGTTAACGACCGCTTAAACTTTGTAAATCAATAAATAATGGCGCTTAGATGAAGTGGAAAACGATACAGTCAATGTGTCGGACCCATTTCATGGGTGTGTTAATATTAAATTAATAATTTTGTCGAAATTTCAATGGGGTGACAGAAAAAAACCACACCACATGACAATTTGACAATCAGTGTGTTTGACAAATAATTTTCACGCGAACTTGACTTCTATGTTAGTGACGACGAATGTGTCAATTCTGTTTATTGATCTATATCGGGATCTGGATTCTTCGTAGAAATCCATTGTGGAATTTTTGGACAAAAAAACAGATTACTGAAGCGCAGCGAGCGAAGTTATCTTGGTATCATTTCAAACTGCACAATGACAGAACATAATTATTCGGTAATTCCTTAACCCAATATTGAAGTGATAACGTGTCGAGAATGCTGCTGATATTTCAATAATTTGGAAAGCATCTGGATAGGGTAAGAGGAATACCGGAGTGAACAGGGACTTGAATTAACTATTAAGTAATCTGTGCTTGAAGTCTCAACTCATATCTATAGAATTTAACACTATAGTTTCTCAGATGATAAAACAGGCAAACAAATTAGTTCAAACGATTTGAAAGAGATGCCGCTACGATGTTTTTAATCCAAATGGCAGTTAAAACAAACAAGTTGTGAAATCTTGAGAACACGAGGTCACATCCATTGCTCTTATAAGAAATACGACGACTGTTCCATCTTTTGAGGAATTATTAGACATTATTTGTACATTTTCGGCAAATACACCGTAAATATTGAATTTAGCATCATTATTGTTAAAACATGTATAAAGTTGATAAACAAAGGCAAGTTTAGTGTACTTCAAAATTCTTGTAAGACTCTATGTGTTCTGTCTACCTAGAGTTTTAAAAAGGAAGTGTGTTCCTCTTACCCTATAATAATATACATTAGTAACATTTACGGAAATTCCAAAATATTTCTATTTTGCATACAGATTGGTTCACAGTTTTTGAAACACTACTTTTTAGATGTATAAGTACTCCGAATCCTTCTTGGAAGCGATCAACTTAAATTTTTCGGGGCCACATTTTATGTGCCACACATGACTAGGTTTTTATTACTACTGTTTATGACTCACAATTGTACCACCATCGTACAGGATGACATTTTCGATTTCACGATATTTTGGGGGTACCTAGTATCACCTTATTTGGTTCGAATCGTACTGTTGTAGAAGGGATGCAGCAATAAATGCAAGAAAAGCAGCCTTGTAATAAAAAACACTTCCTGTTCATAACCTGCTTCTTTATGTTGAAGAACATATTTCAATTGCAGTCGTGTTATTAACTCTTCGCCATTTTGGCTGTTATTTTCTTCCTAGTTAGGTCCTTTACCACTAATTTTAATAATATCTTAAAAAGTCCAAGGAAGAACTGTCACAATACCTATTTTTCTGCCAAGCAGTAGTGTGAGCATTACTGCATTTTGGTTTTGAAGGATGTGGATGCTGGTGAACTTACACGGACATGAGACTTGTCAACTTTATATCTGGGATAACGGGCGCAGTGGCAGTGCCTCTCAGATCTGAAGAAAGCTCTGCAATGCAGCTGTTATGGACAGGCGTGTCGTTTACCACCAGGCCCGCGACTTGTTTGTTCATATCTTACGGGTGTGAAAGTAAGTAAAGGGTAAATCCAGAAAATATTTCGTATTTAAATCATATTGGATCTTAATATTACGAAAATGGCTCTTAAAGATTTTTGCGTTGTTTTTAATAGTTTGTTCTAAAATTAGACGACGATAGAGGTGTCGGCCATTAAGTATAATTACGTTAGCAGACTTACAAACTCTCAATGAGTACTACGTACTCATTGAGGTTTACTGCGAAAACTGGCCTTATTCGTGTTCTTCGAGCACACCAGAGTCGATGTGGTCACCATGACCGTACATGATCAGATAGAATAAAAGAAAATAAAGTGCATTGAGCCAAAGGACACGACAATACGAAAAACAGTATTAATAACCCTTGTCAACTTCAGAACCATGTTAATGTTGACTCATTGCGATCAGCTGATAAAATGTATTGATAAAAATCAAATTTATATTTGGCCACACAAGGATTCTATTTGTTATGCATCAATCGAAGATCACAGCATTTATGACTAGTTTATATAGGAATAGCAGTTCATCAACCACAATGCGTCCTACTGGTGAATGTCATTTTTTTTTTAACAATTTTTTTTATAATACCAAGTGACAGGACTAACAAGTCGTACGCCTGGTAGTAAGCGAAATGCCTATCCATAAAAGTTGCATTGCTAGTCAGAGTAAAGCTCTTAGGGGCACTGCCACTGCGCCCGTTACCCTGACGTAAGTAGACAAGTCCCATGTGCTTGTAATTTTACCCCCACCCTTACCCTTTGAAACCGGAACGCAGTCGTGCTCACATTACTGTTTTGCGGCAGAAGTAGGCGGCAGAAGAAGTAGAAGGTAGCAGTACTCCCGGGACGAACTCTTATACAAGGAAATCTACTGCTACTAAAACTGCTACAATTATCTAATTCGGTCGCTTAAGCGATACCACATGACGCGTTGCGTCGGCTTTGCGACGTATGTGCGGTAACGCTGCGTTGTATTACATATAAATTAGACTAATATAAGGCGCGTTGAAACGGCGCACGGCGATGAAATGCGTGCGCATCGGATAAGGGGCCAGGAGACAAAGCGGGGAGGAGTGTTGCGGTGCATAAGTTTCAAAGAAAATTCTTTTTTATTTGAAAGTACTTATACTTTCGAGGTAGCTCCATTGTCACCAAATCAAAATCTAACGAGAGAATCCCATGGAAATGGAACGAAATCCTCAAATTTTATAGGTATGTACAGTGTATTCACTGATTTCTACGTCAATTGTGGACCGATTTTGAAATTTTTTTTGTTGGAAAAGGTTTCTCTTGAGGTAGTCACGTTGCCACCAAGACAGAATCTGATGAGATTCCATAGAAATCGAGGGAAATCCTTAAATTTTACAGGCATGTGCAGTGTGTTTGTCACAACAAATCAAAACTTCTCGGACAGGCGTATACGTCTTCATCTTTCCATTCCTCGTAATGTTATAACGAGACGAACAATCCGCTACATGATGAGGGTAAGTGCTTGTAATTAACTTGTATTGAGCCTATTTGAATAAAAATATTTGACATGGACTTATCGTCAGCTCAGCAGCATGACGTGACGACTATCAGACTCAAACACCTGATTAAAGCAATTCTCGTAACGCCTTTTCATCATGTAGTCGGGATAAGTAAGATCTGTTCTGTATACTTGTGTGTTTAGTATTATGCTAATTAAATTACTTATTTATCATCCAAATTGATTTACTTTCTTAGTCTAATTGTTGCTTATATCTAATTAAGAAAGTTTGTAAAATTACCGTGACTGGCATCGACTCCAAAAATAACCAATTAGACATTGTAAGTATTTAAGTATCAATATTTTTAGTGGTAAAGTAAAACTTCAAATCGATCAGTACGTAGCACATAGGTACCGATAATATAATAATATGTTATATATAGGTAATGAATTTGGACATGTACTGTCACGTTGTGTATGTATAAATAAACCATAAATGTAGGTAGATTGATTAATAAGTTATTATAATACTGTGTACGAAACGAAATTAGACAAAAATCAGTAAAAAGAATTACGTGCATTGTTGTTGTTTTTTTTCCTTCGGCCATATGCAATTTCATTGGGTTGCTAATTTTTGGTAATTCTTCTGCTCTAAGTTCTTCCAAATAAATCTATTCCTTCTTGAGATTCAGGATATCATTGTCGTCGCAGAGATTTCTTTATTGTAGTGGAACTTGGATGTGGGTTTTTGGATATTAATAGGAAACTAAAAAACGGGGAAAAGAAATCACAGAACAACAATAAAAGCGAACGGAATTTTGGAAAGGTGATCAACAGGATAGGGTAGGTAGTATGCTATAGGTAAATCTAAACAATGAAAGATGAAAATTATGACAGAAAATGGAAATGAGATGGTAATAGCTGAAAATAATGATAAGTGGATAAATAATAATCTAAATTTTAACATCATTTTTCCTTATAAACTGAGCCAATAAACGGAATTAGTCGTTCGGATTAAATCTCAATTTTGTTATTTTTCGCTATTTAGTGACTATTTAGATATTGACTGTTTGTGGTTTTTGAAGTTGGTTGAATTTTTTTAAAGTTTGGTTATATATAATCTAGAATTAAATTTTAAATCTCTTTCCATAATGCTAAATTTTTTATTACATCTATTCTCCGCCGCTTTTCTACCAAAACAAGAAAAAGATACTAATACAATAATATGAAGAGGCTGTATGGTAAACCTTTCCCTACCAAAATAAATAGGTGAAAATATAAAAAAGATATTGTTACGTCTTGTATATTTACTTTGTATTGCAAAACTTTCTGTTCAGTATTTTGTGTTTACATTTTTAGATACAATTTGTTTAAAATCGTGTATCATTTTAACTGAATCCAATATATAAAATCCAGGACAATTGTAAATGCGTTTGTCCGATGATGAGCATGAAATATTGGAACCGTACCACATCGCCACACACAAGCAGAGGAAGTCCACAAAAATGGCGTTTAGAATTAAAAAAATAGGTTTTGTTATAGTCCTTTCAATGCTTGTGATAATTTACTCTAATTTGAAAACACCGCGAATAAATACTGAAGAAAGACTTTATGGCAAAATCTACCCCCAGCTCATTAACGAAAGTATTCATGAAAATAGGGAATCTGGGAAGTATGTATTGAAAAATCTGTCTGTAAAATTCCCAGTGGATAATAATGTTACCTTGTTAATAAAGAAACTCCCTCCAGGCGTGGTAGAAGCGAGTCATCGAGTACAAAAATTGCACATCAACCTTCATAATGGGCTAATTTCAAAATTAAATCTCGACTACAATTTCCCAATAGAACATTACAAATTTTACGATTACAACGAATATTACGAATACAAATATTACGATTATTACGCTAGCAAGAAATTATATAACAATATTCACTGGAGCAAAAAGTATAAACATTCGAAAACTATTTGCAAAGGAAGAGATTGGGTCAGTTGCAATGGCTTCCAGTGTCAAGTCATACCAGAGATTTTTGAAAAAATGCCAATGATCGCGTGCTTCTATAGCGATTTCGTCGAATATAATGTTAATGGCTACTTTATAGGCACTTCATTGCGAGTAGATGGAAACGAAACGTGGAATTTCTTTTTTTCTGATCATGTAAAAATATCTTGTGATGAATTTGGAAATACTCCTGTCATGTTAGGCAATGTTCCTAAGCGACAGTTCTGGACTGGTATCAAGACTGGTTTTCGAACCGTCTCCGTCGAAACTCCTAGTGGTAGAGAAAAAACACCGAACATACTTATACTGGCCTTAGACTCAATCCCATATCACAAATTTCATAAGTACTTGCCTCGTGCGTTCGGAGTTTTGACACAAGAGCTCAATGCCGTGGTACTTCAGAATTATAATGTAAATAACAGCGATATGTTAACGACATTCAATATAATTAAAAATGGATTCAAATTGCAAGATAAGCAAAAACTGTATAGGAATATTTATCTATACCCTGATAACTTATTAATAAAACACTTACATGACGATGGTTACTGTACCGGTTACTTTACGGATTTATCCATGATAAGCTCAAAAATTTACAAGTATCCCACCGACTATAAGTTACACTATTTCTTTGAGGAAAATGACAGAATGACGAGAGTAGATGAACTGAACACAACATTTAGTGATATAAATTGCGTTGGTGATACACCAAAATACGCTTTGCTATTGAACATTACTCTTCAGTACACCGAAATACTTGAGAAACGTTTTAGTTTTACTTTCATATCTAACATTACTAATTATCCTCGTAGAGCAGTGGATGATAATCTAGTCTATTTCATTAGGTCATTGAAACATGTGTTAAGAGACACGCTTTTCATTTTTATGACGAATCAGATTTTTTCAAAAGCCTCACAATCGACTCCAAATGTTGAAGATCTCAATCAGCTCGTGTTTATAGTTTTGCCACGTCTACTGGTTATTGAGAAACCTCAGACGAGGTATAATTTAATGGCCAATAGATACATGTGTACAACACCGTTTGACATTGACAAGACCATTCTGGATGTTGTGGGACTGAATTTGTTGGGTAATGATGACAACCTGACCGATTCTAAACTGCCTGACGGAAGAAGCTTGCTGCAGATATCACGTAAAGTGCACCAGCAGGATACCTCAACTGCAGGGTACCATGGAACTTTCTACCTTATGAGCAAAAAAGATTTCATTCTACCGGTGACGATCATACCATTTAGCATTTTTTGGGTATTCCAATGAAATCGTTTATAGCATTCGAAACACATGAAATGACTTTATTGCGATTCTTGAGCCCTATCTCGTGAATAAATATACTCTGCGAACGCACTTTAGCGTCCGACCGCACTAAATCTCGTTATATATTTTATAATAATAACTGTAATAAATTTGTATTTAATTGATATTCAATTACTTTTTTGTGGAATTACGCCACTAGTGTATTATAATTATTGATACGTAGATTGAACATTTAGATAAAATTTCTTCGATCTGACCGGATTCGAACCGACTTCTAACAAACCGTGACAGACGCTATGCCAACTAAGCCACGGAACGAACTAGCGGATCTCACGAGTTTTTTTATGTGGTTGTCGGAACTGTGTATTTGGTTTTCAACGACTTTTAACCGTCCCGACCACTATGAGAAATCTATGAAAGTATTTTGTCACCCAGTTAGGTAACTTTACAGCTACCAGACCTGGCTAGAGACGTCATAGATTGCATAGCTACACTTGCGATTTATAGGCGATTGCATCGATGCAAACCTCCAACTGCATCGATGCACATGCGCGTTTGCATCGCTGCTAAACTTCGCCGTGTGCAACTGCTCTTAGAGGATGGATGGAAAAGACGAAGGAAACTATAAAAAAATAAGTCTCTTTTTTGCAATTTTTTATATAGCCATTCGCTGTCATTAAACTGTCATTTATTTCTTATTTACTTCTTGAATATGTTTTATATTGTATAATTTTCTACTCAGTATATTGTGTTTATGTTTATAGTGACAATTTGTTTAATATTGTATATTTAATTAATTCCAACAAACAAAAAACAAGAAAAAATTTTCAAATGCATCTATCTGATGATGAGTTCGAAGTTTTGCACCGGTACCACATGGTCACGTACGGACCCAAGAAATCCTTAAGGATGGACACTAGAATTCAAACAATAGGTTTTGGTATAGTCTTTATAGTACTTGTAATAATTGTCTCTGATTCGGATTTACTGGAAACTTCGCGAATAAGAACGCCATATAACAAAACCTACCTCCAGTACATTAATAACAGTCTGTATGAAAAGAGAAGGTTTAGAATGCAGTTAATAAAAAATCTATCTGTAGGCATCTCAACGCATAGTGATGTTACATTGTCTTTGAAAAATTTACGACCAGACTTGATCGAAGCTGGAGATCGTTTGGGTGAAATGGTCCAAAATGCTTTGTTTGAATCAATGTTAAAGTTAATAGTAAACCGCAATTTTTCAAAAGAATTTTATAAAGCAAGTCATAGCAAGGTTTTTTATGATGGTCATTCATTGGACATTGATCTTCTAATCAAACATTATGCAAACTCGAAACCTATTTGCACAGGCAGAGATTGGGTCAGTTGTGACGGCTTCCATTGTAAAGTCATTGAAGAAATTCTTGATAGAATGCCAACGATTACGTGCTACTACAAGAATATTGTCTACACTCCTAATAACAACTATCACATAGGTACTTCATTCAGAGTAAATGGAAATGCAACATATTATTTTAAGGAATCTGATCACGTAAAGGTATTTTGTAATCAGTCTCAAAAAAGTAGTCTATCTTTTAATTTTCATGAGAATGAGTACTGGATTGGCGTCAAGACTGGCTTTCGACCTGTCTTCGTTTCAGGTCCTAGTGATAGACAAAATGCACCGAACGTACTTATACTTGTCTTAGATTCAATACCATATAATAAATTTTACAAGTACTTACCCGTAGCATACAAAATTCTGACACAAGATTTTAGAGCTGTGAAACTCGAGAGTTACAACGTAAACAACAGCGGCATGGTAACCGTATTTGATATTTTAATGAAGAAAGTTGGATTCAAATTTCAAGACGAGCAGAAACCAAATAGAAATATTTATCTGTATCCAGATAACTTTTTAATCGAACGCTTACATGACTATGGTTACTATACTGCTTACTTTACAGATTTGCCCATGGTAAGTTCAAATAATACTAAGTTTCAAATGGATTATAAGTTGAATAATTTCTTTGAAGAAAATGAGAAAATAGCCAGATCCAGCCCGAACACAAAGTTGAACGATACAAATTGTGTTGGCGATACATCAAAATACGCTTTGTTATTGAAAAAGGTGCTTGAATATACTCAGATAGCTGGTAAAAGTTTTAGTTTTACTCTGATTTCTAATATTACTGCCTATCCTCCATGGGAAATGGAGGATAAACTAGTATTTTTCCTTAGATCCTTGAGCGATAAGTTAGATAACACGCTTTTCATTCTTATGACGAGCCAAATTTTTTCAAAATCTCCACAAGCGACTCCAACTGTTGAAGATCTCGATCAGCTTGTGTTTATAGTTTTGCCACGTACACTGGTCGTAAAGAAACCTGAGACTTGGCATAACTTGATGAGCAATAGCTACATTTCTACAACACCGTTTGACATTGACACGACTATCTTGGCTGTTGTGGGACTGGATTATTTAAGTAATAATGATAACGTGACCTATTCTAAACAGACCAAAGGAAGGAACCTGCTGGAGCTACAATTTCAGGTGAGCCAGCATGTCACATGGAACCCTTTACCTCCTACCTTGTAAAGCGTACGTATGGATATTTTATCTTGCCAATGAAGAAATACCGTTATGCATTTTTGGATGTTCCAGTGATATTATTAACAGTCAAAGGATAGTCGAGAATTATCGATATACTTGGTGTAAAAATGGCTACCAAATCGACCCTAATACATTGTAGTCAACATACAAATGACTATCGCAATTTGACGGCTTAATTTAGAGACTCCAATCTTGAGCTAATTTGTCAAATCCACTATAACAACAGCTAGTAAATCGTTATGTGTCACAAGATTCAACAGTCTATTATAGACAGAACATAAATATTCATCGACACCTTGGATGACACCAACGTCTGCACTTGATTGATTAAGACTTAAGAGCAATCTTGAGCTGTAAGGTCACCTGACTTTCGTCCAGCCTTTATATACTAACGCAGTAGGTATTGCAGAATATTACGATTGTGAATTGTGAATTGCATTCTTCGTACTGTTACGGTGTCCTAAAGATCCCACTGGTTGGCATGAGTCGTCTGAATTTCAGTTATAATCTACCACAAAAGCTCAATACGGGATGGAAACACTGTCTTCAAATATTTATTTATTAAATATCATAATGTTTTACTATCTTGATTTTTTATGAAAATACTACACTAGTTAGTCATTATGATTCATATAAAGATTGAAATACACAAAGAAAAAGTTTTCAATGTGACTGGATCGGTCCAGTCCAGAACCCGAGTCCCCATCGAATCATGGCAACATTTTTGTTACCAGTAGTGCTCCTTGTGAAGAGTTCGTCCAGGGAAGCACTGCCATCTTACCTGTTTCTGCCGCCAAGTAGTAATGTGAGCATTACTTCGGTTTTGAAGGATAAGGGTTCTGGTGAAATTACAGTCATATGGAACTTTTCAACTTGTGTATCAGGGTGACGGGTGCAGTGACAGTATCCCTCAGGTCTTTGCGATTTAAAGCTCTGAGTGGCACTTTAATGCACGCACGCACACACTCATAGCCCTGCACTAGGGTAACCCTGTATCGCGGTTGATGCATGTGATGTGCTATGGATACACATAAGGACAACCCCAAATGCACTGGAACTGTTATGTCGCTTACAGGCGCACGACTTGTTTGTCCCATCACATACTATCGTAAAATAAAACAGATATTTTGGTTCGTATCCAGTCAGACCGAAGGGCTTTTTCTTTATAGATTTCGAGTTCAGTTTCGCGTGTGGATACAGTGAGTGTGGTTTGTGTGAAAAAAGTGAGTGACAGTGGTAACGCCACAACAAATCGCGATGAAGGTAGTCGTCGACAGCGCAAGAGGGAAGGGGTAGACAGATATGTCTGCTCATAAAGCTGTCATCTGCCGCCGTCCAGTCAACCCGTCACCATGGAGTGTGCAACCGTTCCGAAATATCGGGAAAATAAAAAGAAGTCATACCGTGGTAAGAAACCTGATACTAGTGATAATCATTTGGCTTTTTCTTTGTTTCAATGTCTCTCACCTTCTCCAACAGGCAGGTTTACCAGTACGTTTTCCATGACCAATATAGCTGTAAAATTATTATTCACGGAAGAAAAAAACAATGGAAGTACTTTAATCCTCGATTACTATCGGAATCGCTGTCGCCAACACGCACACAAACAAATGATAAACACTACGAAATCTTGATAATGATTGGTTTCTTATTTAAAAAGATGTAACAAATTCTGGATTGTTAATATAATTTAAACTTTGCCCGGTCGCTATATAGTTGAAAGTTCATTACCTTTATTGCCAGTTACGACATTTTGATTTTACATTGAAATTTTATTCAACTTGCTGCCATCTTGCGGCCAGTAGCTGGACTACGACGAACGATTAACATAATCTGAATCAAATCGATAAACAGAAAATTCAAAATTTCTCAAAATAAGACTTACCGACGATATGAATACCGACTATTGCGGGTAATATTTTTGGTGCGGTTATCATTTTTGCAATCCATAATCTCAGTACAGAGTACGTGGAATTACGCCAAGTTTTATTGAAATATCACCTAGTTCGCCACTGTACAGGACTTGACACAGGAGATAATGAAAATCGGTTCTCACTACTCAAAGTATATTGAGAGAAAAACGCTTTGAATTGGAGAAATAGCAAAATCAACCATTAAAGTAATTGCTCCTAAATTAAAGTTAGGCGCTATTTATAAAAATGAATCTTTATGCGTGATGGCTGATGGCCTTAGAGGTGGATGATTTTCTTCAAAATGAAATGGGACCACTATGGAAGTACCCCCTTTCCAACAAAAAAAGAATCATGAAAATCGGTTCACAAATACCGGAGTTATTGCGTAACATATATACAAAAAAAAACAGTCGAACTGAGAACCTCCTCCTTTTTTGAAGTCGGTTAAAAACAGCACAATAAAGGCATTTTTCTGCAATTTTAGAGAATTTGCGC